TTTTTTTTTTTTTTTATAAGCGCGAAACCTACAGGTTCATACAGCCGTCAATAATGATAGTAATATTGATAATAGAAATAATGGAATAAATTAAATTTGTTTCTTTGAAAAAAAGGAGAATTTTCTCGAATTTTCTATAAAAAAAATAGAATGTTTTAGAATTCCGATGAAGATCAATGGGCTTTCGGTTTAGAAAATATTGGTAAAACCGTATTAATACAGTTATAAATAAGAGGGAAATCGGGGAGATGAAGACATGTGAGGGTTTTGGGTGACAATGAGTAATTTTTAGGGGACTTTTGGAAATTAGGGGATAGTTGATGTAGCTAATTTTCCAAATTTTTGAACAAATTTTCTGCTGGAAGCTATCGATATTTTTACTAATTGAAGCACGTTAATGTTGAGGAGGAGATGGTGCAGATCAATGGGCTTTCGGTTTGAAAAATATTGATAAAACCGTATTGATATAGTTATAAATAAGAGGAAAATCAGGCAGATGAAGACATTTGAGGGCTTTGGGTGTCGATGAGTTATTTTTAGGGAACTTGGAATTTAAGGAATACTAGAATGCAGTTTTACAAATTTTTGAAGACATTTTCTGCAATTACCTATCGATATTTTTACAAGGAGATATTTCTCGAAAACTTACTTAAGAGTTAAGTCGACTTAAATCGTTTTACCGCTTCGCTACTGAATTTTCGTCGCAAAAATCCATTTAGTTGTTCCAAAAAATTATTATTTTTCACTCAATAAGAAATATTTCTAGCACGAACTATTCATTATTCTCAACTACCCAATGTATTTTGCTCCAGAAAACTTATCGTTTTATGCGAAACAAGGGAGCGAACGCGAGAGAATTCTTGAATACAACAATAATGATGATGATATGATAGGAGCCCTGTAACTTAGGAACAAGATATTTCTCGATTAACTTCACTCTGAGAGATATTTTCATCCTGAAAAAGTCCCATCTCGCGTTAATGATCCGCCTGTTGAGTCAGATATTTTGTTGCTAAAATAATCGCAGAGCTATTATCCATGTTTGAACCTTTTGTATGCTCAAATTAAACAATCTCCGTCTTGGAGATTATCCACGTGCGATTTTCTTAATTCAAACAAAACTTGTTTGAGACCGTAATTTCGTATCTCTCAGTACAGTTGATACAAGCAAAAAAATTCAGTCAACTCAGATCATTTCAGTGCCTCGTTTACATTGCTCAGATTTGTTGATATGCAATGAGTCCCAATATTGATAATATTGTTTCAGCAGTGAAGTGGTAGAACGGTTTAAGTCAACTTGGTCCTGAGCTGAGTTTTCGAGGAATATCTCCGAATCTGGGGGAGATGGCGAAATTTTTGTAATGACCTTTTTTGTAGAGAGAATGGAGGGCTACAAAAAAGGTTATGTCAAAAATTTCGCTATCTCCCTTGGATTTCGAGATATGCATTAAAAACTGGCCAATAGTGAAAATCAACTTGAACCGTTTTACAAAAGTGAGAAACAATATGCTTCCGAATGGTTATTTTTCACATCATTTCCCTCCGTCACGTGTAATTCATTTTATTAAATTGAATAAAATTTCTTTTTAACTCATTTTGTCAGATTTTCAACTTAGTTGAATGTTATCAGCATCATTATTCTTATTATCCCTTTTTTCTATACAACTGATTGTTCTTTTTACGGTCTCCTCTCAGCCCTTGGATAAAATGGCGATAGAAAAATTATATTTACACATACTTAAATGAATTTGAAACATCACATTTGAAGACATCATCAGAAAGCTCACTTTCAGGAAAATTCATGAAAAATTCGAAATTTTCAACAATCATCTTTTAACTTCGACTTGATGGAATTAAAACAAACATTTCAAGCTATGATTGAATTCATTTGGAGCATGATATTCAAAGATATCCCCGGAATTCTGATTTTTTTTAAATACAAAATTTTTACAAATTTTCAAATAAATCAAAATAACGATTATTGCTATCGCCTTCATCTTCGAGCTCGGTCTAAGGGACCGATTTTCGAAAAATTCGAAAATTAAAAAACAAATCGATTAATTGAATTTTAATTAATCGATAGGGCTCAACAATAATTGTTTAAGATAAAAATTTACGGCATTCATGTAAAATAGGCAGAAAAATTATCCTTAAAATATTAAAAATATATTCTCGATTCTTCCAAAATCATTTTGTACGCTTTTTATTAATAAAAAAAAAACGAAATCAGCTGTGTAGGAGTTGAATTTCAAAAAACTAATTCGTAATTGTTATTGTACACACTTTTTCAAAAATTAAAAAAAAACTGTAGCTCAAAAATTGGAGGCCCTGGCCTTGAAACTATTAATTTTCCTACACTAATTATTCATTTTTTCTAACTATTATAATAATTATTACTTAACCCATAAATATATCTAGTTAAACACCCAAAAATTCAACTGTTGTAACTCCCCTAAATCTAATCTGATGTATTGTACTTGTTTAACGGAATAAGTATGTAAGGAATTATCATTTATGTAAATCCATACAAAATCATTGTAATATTACTGCAGAATAAACCGTAAGGTTTAAATGCCTACAATAAAAAAAAATCATTTTTAGACATACATAATCGATCTTCAATGCATGAGAAATTTCACTCCAATAGCCCGCGACTTTTAAAACTCTCAGTCTCCCCTCAAATTTGAACGACTACAAACTTCCATTCGGAAACAAAAAAATCCCAACTTATGTGAAGACTGACTGAAGAAGAAAATTAAATGTCTCTCCCTCTCTTTTCAGTCGTTTGAATGTTGGATACAGAGAGTAGACACAGTACTGGGCTAGATCAGGGACCTACTAGGGACCCTTGGCTCACAATGGACTATTACCTCGGTACAGACAGTCTATCTCTACAAGAGATGCTCGATGTCGACATAAAATGTGAAATTGAGGGTGTCATTGGTGGACACCCTGAGTTGGGCTTCAATTTCACGGATTTGTCACCACTGGAGATGGACGATGATCCCGTTGGATGCCAGGGGGACATCAACGGATGGTTTGGCTCGACGAGTTTACTCAATGGCAACAGCAACAGTTCACACAGGTAATAGCAGATTTTAATTTGAATATTTTGGACTTTTCTCCCACTGACGGGGATACGGAGGATTATTGAATAAATTAAAAGGATTACTGACCCCCTTAGAGTCGGCCTACGTCTTTCGATCGATCGTTTCCAAGCGACGTAGTAATTCGTGAATTCGCTTTCAGTTGGGTCAATGAACTATCGTTCATTCTTAATCGCCGCTCAAAATACTCGGTTATGTTTGTTTTATCTGTTCTTATTTCGCGGAAAGAGTTCTGAGCACTTGATTCGTTTAAATTGGACTGTGGCTGGAGCTCCGAGGACATTCGCAACTTTGGTATTAAAGTGCATGATGAAATACTCAGACTACCATTGAGGATCTGTTTTATTTCCTTTTATTTCTTGGAAATAATTCTGGATATTTAATTCATTGATAAGAGAGATGTGGGTACAATGGACGACTTTCAATCGTCACTGGATCGAGATCGGTAGAGCACAATTCACAGGGTTTTTCCTATTTTAAGGGTATTTTTTTAGGCGCTACAATGAGGCCTGATTAATCCAAATGAAATGAATGATTTTATGAGATGTTAATTATTTAAAAAGGTTTATTTTGCCTCGTTGAAATAGTCTCAGACTACCATTGAGGATCTGTTTTATTTCCTTTTATTTCTTGGAAATAATTCTGGATATTTAATTAATTGATAAGAGAGATGTGGGTACAATGGACGACTTTTAATCGTCACTGGATCGAAATCGGTAGAGCACAATTTACAGGGTTTTCTCTATTTTAAGGGTATTTTTTTAGGCGCTACAATGAGGCCTGATTAATCCAAATGAAATGAATGATTTTATGAAATGTTAATTATTTAAAAAGGTTTATTTTGTCTCGTTGAAATAGTCTCAGACTACCATTGAGGATCTGTTTTATTTCCCTTTATTTCTTGGAAATAAGTCTGGGTATTTAATTAATTGATAAGAGAGATGTGGGTACAATGGACGACTTTCAATCGTCACTGGATCGAGATCGGTAGAGCACAATTCACAGGGTTTTTCCTATTTTAAGGGTATTTTTTTAGGCGCTACAATGAGGCCGGATTAATCCAAATGAAATGAATGATTTTATGAGATGTTAATTATTTAAAAAGGTTTATTTTGCCTCGTGTTCCTTCTATTAATTGGAGTTGGCAGATCTGAGTTAAATATTGTTGTTAAAAAAATTTTTTTTTATTGTTGTTAAAATATTGTTGTATTTAATTGTGTAATAATCCCCGCTCAATCGAAAGGGCGTTCATGGAACAAAGATGAATCACACGTGAAGTTATTCCATGACATTAGAGAACGACAATCAACTTTCTTTTATTTTAGAAAAGAGGGAAAGAGGATAGGCTAAACCATTCGTTTTCGTAACAATATTATTCAAATTATCAATCGAAATGCTCATTACGATTCATTATTTCGAAAGCATCAAACGTGAAACATAAAGTAGTATTTTAATGGTTGTTATTTTATAAAAGATTACGATTCGAAATAATTTTCCTTTTTAATTAAATTTAATAGGATTTTTAAATAGTTTAATGGAGTAGTTTGATCCGAATATTTGCATTAGTGGTTGGCAGAATCGAGTGAAATATTCGAATTACTAATTAGAATTTGCACGACTATTTGATTTTTTGAAGAAGAAACTGCTTGAAATGAATAATTTATGAGAATCTCTTGCGATTTTTTCGTCCCATCATTTGAAATAGTCTCCTTTTTGTTTTTCATTCTTCAAAAATTTGTTCTCACCAGTAGGAGAACTATCAGAAACAGTGAGAGACGTAACGACCAAAATTATTGCCATATAGTGAAGACTATTTAAGATTTCCTATCCTATTATGGTTTTCATTTCGCTCTAATTTGATTCCTCTTTTAGAAACAAAACTGAAGTTAAATGAATGGTATTGAGTCATGCGGAGTAATAAACTCGCGATGATTATTTCAAATGGTACTGCATAGTGAATAATAATTTGAAATACCATTTCTGTCTGATTCCCACGAAGTAGTTCCCAGCTCGGTTGTTGTAAACAGAGTTAAGCAAATTGAGATAATTATATTATCGTTAACTTACAACATCCCTTTGAGATCCCAATTAAATCCAAGAAGATTATCGACTACTTCCGTAATGGATATTCATTTTCAATCAGTTTTTTTTCCTTTTATAATGAACAATATTTTTCAGAGCATTTTTCAATACTTTAACAATTATATATTTACATGTTTAGTAATGTATTCAGTTGTAATATCCCGAGAGCTTCAAAATTATCGAGTATTTTCCGAAAGATTTGTTGTAAACAAATGAAAGTGTTTTGCAGGCTAATTTTTTTTTCTGCAAAACTTGACACACTCGTTTCTTCTCAGGGAAGGTCGAGAGGTATTCGAACGATAATTTCCTCAATAGGGATTTTGCAATGATTTTATTATTGAAATTTTGCAGATCTGAATTTAAATCTCGATATTAAATCGTTAAAAAACATTTTTTTATTCTGAAAAAAAATTGGAAAGGTAATTTTTGGAGGAAGAGTGATGAAACGATTTAGAAAGTGCAATTTTTAAAAATTACGAGCATTTTCTATAAATAATCTATAAACAATCAATTTTCTACCATAAAAATCATTTATTCGGAATCGTAATAGATTTATTCATATTCATAATTTTACCAGAAATCGATTTCATTCTTAAAAAAATAACGTTTCCGAAAATTTAAACAATTGCAATTTCCGTTTTCTAAACAACAGGTGATTTAAAAGACGATGAATATTCATGATTTTTTTCAAATTTTTCTCACCCAATTTAATTCTCAAATTTGAAGATTGAAAATGGTTGAATTTATACTTGGATATCCTTAATTGATAACAGATTGTTGAAAGTTGAAGATTTTAAACGCTTTGAAATCGCTAATGACGTCATAAGGCCGGTGGAACGCTGGACCAATCACAGGATGGCTCTCGCCAACTAAACCCAATCTTCACGGGTGCCTTATCCAATGGATGACGGCAACTCCCCTCTCTCCTCAGATTCGACCAATCGAGCGCTACCCAGCATTACTTCTGCCACTTTGTGACGTCATGACCGAAATAATAGGTTTCGAAAGCCTCTAACTTTCAATCAATAATTAAAAAATTTCTGGGCAATATTTCTTCATAATTCTTTTCGTTTGACTATCTATGGGTTATTTAGAATGGGCGAATAAGGAAATTAGGCGAAACTGAGCTCCATGCGAGTTCCACATTCTAATTTTAGTCGAATACAGCGCGGTATTCGGGGTTACGTGACACTTATCACAAAAATGTGAGAAGAAACAAAACTGTCAAAAGAAGAGCAAACAATTGATAGGCGACTGTGAAATTATCAGTTTGATAATTGACCCATAGGCCGGTGAGTTATCAAAATAAAACTGATGTAAAGATATCACGTGACCCGGAATACTGCACTCTGATTTGTCGAAATCAGAATTAAAGAAATTCAGAAATTCTACTGGTCAGTTTTCGATGAATATCTCGGAATCTAAGGCAGCTAGAAAAATTTTTAGTGAAACCTTTTTTGTAGCTCTCAATTCGCTCTACAAAAAAGGTAATTACGAAAATTTCGTAATCTCCATTAGATTCGAAGATATTCCTCGAAAACTCACCTACACAGCTCGACATTTTTTGAAATTTCTCGAAGATATTATAGTAAATCGCATGAGAGTGACATTGAATCGGATTTAGGAAAAAAATTGTATGAAATCAATTATCAGACTAATTTTCCATTGCTTCAGGATTTCCTCATAATTTTAATATAATTACTGAAATAAAAAAAAACTCACTGAAATAATATTTTGTGTGTATCTCTAGTTGAAAAATTCATCACTTGAACCTTAAAATTTTCAGCAATTACAATCTCGACATCAGTGGAGGGGATGCTGCATCAATAATGGTAAATCCAAATTCAGTAATGCCACATATCACAACGAGATCTCCAACGCCCAACGAAACCCAAACATCATCAATGATAAAAGCATCATCAGCCACAACGACTGCATCATCGAGACGGAATTTCCTCATATCAACGAAGAATAACGCCAAGAAACAGAAGATTGAGATTGAGCATCATGAAGTAGCCAATGACAAGTACGAGAATGACATAACTGAAACTGAGGACGAGGAGGATTGTGATGAGGATGAGGTGGACGAGGACGAGGAAGACGAGGAGGAGGAGGAGGAGGAGGGTGATGATGACGAAGTCGAGGAAGGCGAAGAGGGTGAAGAAGTGGAGGAGGTTGAGGACTCGGAGGAGGAGCATGAGAGTAAAATTAACATTGGCACAATGAGAATAAAGTGTAAACCTCAGCAACAACTCATGAACATAAACTCAGGAATGATGAAGACTTTGTCACCGCAGAGTGTTGGTAAATCACCGACAACTCAAAAAGTTAATTCTTTCTCGCACATTAGAGTTGGTAATTTTAAACTCGTTCACAGTCCTACCAGCCAGACACCCCATCACGTCAGAAAACAGATATATAATAATAATACACATCATGTTACAACTGGTGCTGTATCATCGCCACCAACATCGAAAAAGGAATTTGACCCGTTGGACTATGAGGATAAACATATATATCCAAAGCCAGCATACTCTTATTCTTGTCTTATCGCAATGGCCCTTAAGAACAGTCAAACTGGATCACTACCAGTCTCCGAAATTTATAATTTCATGTGGTGAGTGATAATATTACATTTAATCTTTTTTGACACTGCTGCTACGTTCACCTCGTATCGAAAAGTGCCTTTTCGTTTGCTCGTAAACGAAAAGTTTTTTTGTTTACTAGTTAACGAAAAAAGGCACAGTTCGCCACTCGCTGAACGTAACATCACTGTCAAAAACTATTGTTCGACACATGTGAGACAGGAATTTTCAGCTCGTGTGATTGGCAGCCCTCGGCTTCGCCTCGGGTCGTCAACTTCACACTCGTGAAAATTCTGTCTCACTCGTATCGAAATATACTATTTCACTATTCAATTCTGTAGCGAAGTGGTAAACTAGGATAAGTGCAAAAATGGAACTTTTTCAGGAGAGTTAAAAAATTTGACTACCTTACAGAGAATTTTCTATTCAAGCAATGGAAATTTTTTTTTCTTAATTGCACTTATCCTAGTTCACCACTTCATCGTAGGGAAATCTTAGGGGAGAGTGGGGTAAAATGAACGCTTTTGACTTTGATATTCATAACTCAGAAACAGATTTACCAATTTAGATTAGTCTGGGCTGATCACAAAGGGGAAGAATTGTTATTTCCATAGAAAAATAATTTATTTCATCAAGAATTCAACATGTTATTGTCATGAATTTAAAATTTTATGCTAATAAGCATTTGAAAAAAGCCAAGGGTTCATTCTACTTTACCCTCCTTTACTTAAGATAATTTGAGATGTTCGTTTCTCTGGGAAATCATGAAATGCTCTAGAAAGTCATAGAATGCCTCAGATCGTCTATAAACCTCCAGTTTTTCAAGTTTTGTAAAAAACTTGATGTTTATTCAAGAATAGATAGTGTAAAGTCTTCAGGAAAAAAATAACAACTAGTAACTTAAATTAACGCTGATACGAGTGATTTTGTTGTCATCGCAAAACATTCTGAAATTTTCTAAAGATTTTGCAAAACTTCTGCATTAACGCCAGAGTTTTCAAGCCCCTTTTATCATTGACATGAAAAAAATTGGACTGCGAAACATTTTAATACACAAAACTGCTAAACCATAAGAATATTCCTTCTAAACTTATCAAAACCAAAACCCAGAAATAAATTCCTCAATTAAGCTATTTACAAAGGGGGAAAAACGTGAAATAGTAATGAGTTATGAACACCCAAAAAAAAATTAAATATTTATTTTCCCCTGTTTATCTACGTAAATCAATAATCCCCTAATTCCCAAAATGAGAAAATACCACAGATGGAAGTAAAATTTTAGTCCACTGTGTACCCCCTAAAAATCCCACCACACAGTGAACTCCTGCCATTTTGTTGAGGGGTTCCCCTCATTCCCCATCTGTCCGCAAACACCAGGTGTGCGTCCCTAAGTTGGGGCACACTCGGTCACAGTGTTGTACAGTCCCAACAGTAACATTATGCAATGACCCTCATTCCCCTAATATCGAGCATGCCGACTCGTTTCTTCACCTAAAAAGAAATTGATTGAATTTCCATGACTGACTAATGTTTCTTCTATTCCAGCGAGCATTTCCCCTACTTCAAGACGGCCCCCAACGGCTGGAAGAACTCAGTGAGACATAATTTGTCCCTGAACAAGTGTTTCGAGAAAATAGAGAAGCCCGCTGGCAACGGTAATCAGAGGAAAGGCTGCCTGTGGGCCATAAATCCAGCAAAAGTAGCTAAAATGGACGAGGAAGTGCAGAAGTGGTCGAGGAAGGATCCATTGGCGATAAAAAAAGCCATGATATATCCAGATCACCTGGAGTTGCTAGAACGTGGTGAAATGAAGTACGCAGGGAATGGTGAGGATCTCTCGGAGGAGACTGAGAGCTCTGGTGACGAGACAGCCGAGGAGAATGTTGTCTACAGTGAGCCTGCCCTTGGCCATGTTGCTGCCAACTCAGTCACCGACAGTTACGACGAAAGCAGTCAGGACTGTGACGTTGATATCACTGAGCATCTCTACGATGATCTCGACATTGAGGAGAATAAAGAGGCACTGCACATGCAACTCAACATATCTAAACAAAAGTCATTCGAGTATGAACTCAGTCCCAGTACAATGAAGAGACAAAAAACCGTAACTGGTATTCAGGGAAATTATGTCTATCAATCAGTAACACCGTCACGCAGGAAAACTCCCCTTCTCGTTAGAACTGCACCACCAAATGGTGCTTTTCTCAAAATAGAGTAAATTGTTTATTCTTTATTCTCCTCGTCCTCTCTAACTCGATATATAAAGATCTCACTGGGATATGGAGAAGTTTATGCATCTGAAGTGACAAAATAACTGAATCACAGTTGATGGTACTAATGCATAAACGAGAATTCTCTGAAAATTCCCACCCCTCGCCCCTCCCCCCATAATTTTTAATGATTGAATTATAAATTAATATTTTTGTACGTACTCAGGCTGTGTAAAGAAAATGCAAAAATTCATCTTTCTTTCTACTTCAATTCGTGTAACTATACATTATACATAGATCAGCTGTCGATTTTTTATAACATCTTTGTCATAAAAATAACTAAAACGTATGGTTAATGGAAGGTATGTCAATACGAAGTTTTATACGCGTTTCATCGAGCCAATTGGTAATTTGCCTGTTCCAAACATAATGCATTAAATACAAGTGTTACATTTTCTCAGGAAATATCATCCCAATCAGAGTTTATTTGAGTTTGTGTCAATTACACTTGTATTCCTATTCAACGTGGAGAGATACAGAGAGGGCGATGAGCTTCTAACAAGTTCGATAATTGTAAAAAATTGTGAGAAAAAAAAAAGCAGAAAAAAAATAACACAGTTCTTCCTCGTAAACAATTAAACTGAGTCGGTTTCAGTTGTATATTCATCAAGTTCACTTAAAACTTATTGTATGATTAGTCTCGGCTGTCAACATAGATTTATACATTCATGTATCACTTGAATCCCTCAGTAGAGTCATCAATCCATGCAAAAGAATCCGCTATTCACTTGAAAAAATTACGTAACTCAGTGAGAGTGTGTGAAAATCACGAAAATGTTGTAATTTTGCAAAGCAGCGAAGAAAATTTGTAATCATTATTAAGTATTTGGACAGCCCCAAATGGCCAGACTGATGTATTATAAAGTTCTTTATACATACCTTATATATAAAAACCTATATACACTGAGTATATAAACTTGATCGATAAATGTAAATGATTTTTGCAATTGTATACCTGAAAACAATAATTGCTAGGTTTTTTTTTCTTTTCGCAGATTACGTAATTAGTACAAATAATACTGCATAACAGTCTATTGAATCTGAACTGTACAGGATCAATAAATGACAATGAGAGAAAATAAAAACAATCATTTCAATAGAGTTAATGTTAAGTTGTGAGGATTGATCTGCGATCGTTGAATGTGTCTATGATTATGGGATGAAACTGGATGAAGAGAGGTGAAATATTGATAACCCCGTTGACGACGTTGAGTGTCTAATTTATGTCTTTGAGGTAGTGAAGGAGATGGCGAATCTAAAGGAATAGATTCTTTCTAGGGCAGCAATACTTTTCATCAGTGGGATTTTTTACTTAAAAGAGGAAAATGGTATTTATAGGCACTGCAGTATTGCCCCCCAGAGATGGCAATGATTACTGATATTGGGTCATAAACGAGTATTGTATTACTTTGTCAAGAGCAGTATTTCAAGCTCTCCGTGGATTGTCTCGTTAACAATCACCATAATGTATTATTAATCGTAAGTTTGTACAGTAATTGTATATACTTGATAAAAAGGTAGAGCAATGGAACTATTTCGGTACCATTAGTTAGTTTGTAAAATTTTTTCATTTATTTCGTAAAAAAAATAACAAAAAAATAGAAAAAAAAACATACCAGGAGAATGGCATTTAATAGCGGTTAATTGGTGAATTGAGGTCTCCCTTAACTGCGTTTTGCTACGTGTATGTCTCATTAATAATAAATATCTCTTTGTAATTTGTCACAAAAGTTTTGTTTTTTATTGATGCTGATGGGTGCTTTTGTTGGGTGAATCGATATTGGAGTTTAGGCGTGGAGTATTTCATTCGTAGGGTGAACAGGCCAATTGCTGGACGGTTAAGGAGAATTCGAGTTTCGTGGTAAAATCTAAAATAAAAGAATCACAAATGGGGATAGGAGAGCTTCCATATCTTCAAGAATGGTTTAATTACCAGAACAAAATTATTTGAAGTGAAGATTAGTTGAATGCAGTTCGAAACCCGCAATTTTTGGACGACTGCACCATTTTTTATTTATTTATTGAATTTTGATCAATAGAAGAAAAAAACTGATTACATGATTGTACACGAGTAATATTCTTGAAAGGTAATATAACCAGTAGAATTTTCATTTTATTTGTGGAATATTCAATGCAAGTTGAAATTGTCCAGAAATTGACCCGTTTACCTTATTCTGTCTTTCTGGTATTTTCCTTCGTTGAATATAATACGACTGGAAATAGTGGGCCAATAAATGGGAATGATGGCTTCCAGACTTTCAAGAGTGTTTTAATTACCAGAAAAAAGAATATTTGAAGTGAAAATGACAAAACAAAAAATAATTAAATTAAGAAGGAGTTGAATGCAACCGAAACCGCCAATTTCTGGACGACAGGGTCATAATGTTTTTTATTTACTGAATTTTGATCAGTAGAAAAAATAACTGGTCACGTGATTATACACGAGTAATATTATTCACGGGTGAAATAATCAGTAGAATTTTCATTTTATTTATGGAATATTCAATGCAAGTTGAAATCGTCCAGAAATTGACCCGTTTACCCTATTCTGTCTTTCTGGTATTTTCCTTCGTTGAATATAATACGACTGGAAATAGTGGGCCAATAAATGGGGATATGATGGCTTCCAGACTTTCAAGAGTGTTTTAATTACCAGAAAAAAGAATATTTGAAGGGAAAATGACAAAACAAAAAATAATTAAATTAAGAAGGAGTTGAATGCAGTCAAAACCCCCAATTTCTGGACGACAGGGTCATATGTTTTTTATTTACTGAATTTTGATCAGTAGAAAAAATAGCTGGTCACGTGATTATACACGAGTAATATTATTCACGGGTGGAATAATCAGTAGAATTTTCATTTTATTTATGGAATATTCAATGCAAGTTGAAATCGTCCAGAAATTGACCCGTTTACCCTATTCTGTCTTTCTGGTATTTTCCTTCATTGAATATAATACGGGAAATGGTATTAGTTTAGTTGAATATAATACGGGAAATAGTGGGCCAATAAATGGGGATATGATGGCTTCCACACCTTCAAGAGTGTCTTAATTAGCAGAAAACATTATTTGAAGTGAAAATAAAACAAAAAATAAATTGAGAAGGAGTTGAATGAAGTCGAATCCCCCAATTTCTGGACGACTGGGCTATATTTTTTTTTTATTTATTGAATTTTGATCAATAGAAAACATAATTGATCACATGATTATACACCATAAATATTATCGAAAGGTGGAATAATCAGTGGAATTTTCATTTTATTTATGGAATATTCAATGCAAGTTGAAATCGTCCAGAAATTTACCTGTTTACCCAATTCTGTCTTTCTGGTATTTTCCTTTGTTGAGTATTATACGACTGGAAATAGTGGGCCAGAGGGATATTTTGGAGACTGCTCGGCATAAATATTGCATGTATTATTGTTATCACGCGTACGGTGCTCACTCAATTCTTCCGGCCTTGAAATTACTTCACAGAGCAAATAATAGTGTTGTGTACAGAATAATTTGTAGTGTTTTGTACGCTTGGGTGTATTGTCGTCTATTCTCTTGAAACCCTTTCTACGAATATTTTGGGTTTATTCAGGGCAATAAAAATAGTATTTTTAATCCATTGAACGATGGAATAGGATAACAAAATTGTGATTTTTCGGTTCGTCTCAATGTTTGTGTGGGGAGTTTATTTAGTCAGCGTGTTAACACGTGTGAGAAATATGAGAATAAAGGATATGGATGGAGGGGGAATTTTCAGGAGGGTTCGGATGGGAAAGTTCTGCTGTTGATTAAGGACATCCAAATGCTTTATACTCTGTTTAGTGCAGACTAATAGCACAATACCACAGACGAAAAATTTCGTAGATAAACCTAGCGATTCGATGAAACATTTTCATTCTTAGATTTCTATTGAAAATTCTATTAGTTTTCGACAGTTTCTTTGGAAGAATTTCACAGCTTTACTTGGCGTTTTTTTAGTAGAAAATTTCCAATAAAATGTATTTTAGTGAAAAAATCAGTAGAATTTTATCTTTCTATGCAACTTTTTCTATTGAGAGATTTTCTCTAGAAATTCATCGGCATGAATTTTTGAAGTTTTTTCTACGTAGAAAATATAATAATTGACTTTTTGCAATGGAAAAGAGAATAAAAATTGAGTGCTCCATTTTTATTCGCTTCTTAAAAAAAGTCAAATTGAAAAATTTGGAAAATTTGAGCCGAGGAATTTCTATAAAAAATCTCCATAGAATAGTTGGACAGGAAAATCAAAATATATTGATTTTTTCTACAGAATATGTTCCATTGAACATTTCTATTGAGAAATGCGTAGATGACCTTCGGAATTTTTCAATAGAATTTTCTCGCGAATTCGCTGGGTTCTCCCTTGGAATTTTTCCGCACGTGACATTCTGCGATTTTCAATCATAAAATTTGTCCATTAATCTGAGGGTCAGTCAAATAACATTTTGGGTAAAATTAGAAGTTTTCAAAATATTTCCTCATGAATAAATCATCAAAATCGTTTAAATCTTCAGAGACCTTTTCTTGTTTTTAAAGAATGGAATTGTTTTCTGGAAAAGTTCTGGATATGAACAAATTAGTTACGATTTCAAAGAAATGGTTTTTAGGGTTCAAAACCGTTTTTTTACATTGATAAAAAATAGTACATTAGAGGAGAAGGCTAGTATGCACATTCGTTGAAAACGAAATTTATGCTCGAGTGGTCTATAATATTTTATATCACTTCCGCACTGAGAAAAAAAATATTTTCGCCAAATATTAATTTACTTGTGAGAAGTATTCATTTTTAACAAATCGTATTTCTTCGATCGAATTACTCCCAGGCGAGCTCAATTAGGTTTCAATTATGACAATCATGTCGCTCTAGAGGATGACTATGTCGAACATGACCTTGAAATTCTCTAACGATTTTTCATTTTTTCAAAATTTCTTATTGTCTACAACAGGGAAGAATTTCAATTAATTTTTTAATGTTTATAATTATTGAGAGAGTTCATTCAAGGCTTTGAACCACCATGATCATCTTCTAGAGCAACATAATTGTCATAATTGAAACCTAATGAGAATTGCCTGGGAACTACTCGACTGGAGAAATATGATATTGAAAAAATAAATACTTCTCTCAATAAAATGGATATTTGGCAAATATAATTTGTTTTCGCAGTCTGTAATAAGCTCTATTTATTGTACAGAGTCATATAAAGTTCGTAATAATTAACAATTACATTTTTTAATTATTTAACAAATCTTTCTCCAAAAGTAAAATTTCTAATTTCTTGTTTTTCGATTTAAAAAAAATTCCTTAAAAGTAAATTCCCTTTTCTGTGAAGTTTAAATAATAAAATCATTGCAAAATGTTCTGGTTTCGAATGGGGCTTTAATGGAAACTTTGATGTTCAACGGCAAATGAAGAAAAGGATTTCAACGAAAAAAAAAATGCTCGAATCAATCATAAAATGCAATCATGAAATAAAAAAGACATTATAGAAGATATGAAGAAGTCTTGAATAATTCCTAAGAAAATATCTCCAAGCCCAATCAATCCATGACCCCAATCATCATTTACTCATGCAAAGACATCTTCATTTGAAAAGAGAACCTCGGAATTGTTTCCATTAGTTATGGTAAAACGAAATCTACAAGTTAAAAATTGAATTGTAAAATAATAAAAATTCTTCCATGACCGTTCTATGAAACCATATCTATAAGCTTCATAAATCGTCATAAACGTAATTATCATGTCATACCAATCAGTTGGAAATTTCTTCAACATTCAAAACGATCATTAGATCGAGTGACCAATGTATCAATCAAACGCATAATGACCCTTTCCAGTGAAAATCTGAATAAAAAAACTAAAAAACCTGAAATTAAAAATTTTCACACGACTCTTCTGAAATATTCTGCAAGTTTCATCAACTGATGACCCCACTAATTATTCACTCATTCAATTACCCGAGGATGGAACATTTGAAATTAGATCGCAGTTCTCCCAGTAATCAATTTTGAACCAATCTCAAATTGAAAAATTTAATCATAAAATAGAAGTCTTGAATTCCTAGTAGAAGTCTTGAATTCCTAACAAACTATCTCCAAGCCCAATCAATCCATGACCTCGATCATCATCTACTCACGCGAAGATGTCTTTATTTGAAAACAGAACATCGTGATTATGGTAAAACCTCATTGTAATGGTAAAACACATTTTGTGAAGGACAAAAATTCAATAATAAAATAATAAAAATTCTCCATTGACTATTCCATAAAATAATATCTATAAGCTTCATAACTATTTCTCCATCATTTCAAACAGATCCAGTGACTATTATAATAATAATCAAACGTATAATGAACCCCTTCAATAGAAAACTGAATAAAAAAAAAAACACTAAACCCTGAAATTGAAAATTTTCCCACGATTCTTCTGAAATCATCTCAAAGTTTCATAAACCCATGACCCTAATAATGATTTACTTATGCAATTACCTGAAGATGCAACATTTGAAACCAGAATCCACTTCTCCTACTAATCAATTTCAAATTGAAAAATTCAATTATAAAATAGAAATCTTGAATATTCCCTAATAAAGTATCTTGAAGCTCCGTCAACCGATGACCTCAATCATCATCTATTCATGTGAAATGAAGATCTCTTCATTTGGAAGCAGAAACTTGATCGTAATGGTAAAACAAAATTCTTGAA